TGCTATTCTAGCAGTAAGAAGCATATCCTGACAAACATTCCTGCTCCCCCTTGTACACCTGGCTTCTCAGTTCACTCCCAAGCTTGTGCTGATTACTTTGGGATGAGTTTTCAAATGTGAAGCTCAGTTTTCCAGGCAGGCTGGAAATGGAGGAGCCCAGTTGTGCAACACATCCTCCTGGGCCACCACTGCCTCCTCCAGAGCAGCCTGATTTGCATGATTTAAAACTCAGGAAATAAACCAAGCTCAAGGAAATTCCGGCTCCTTAACACAGGAGAAGGAAACAACTTCCTCCTGCAGCCTTCAAAACGCCAGAAAATGGTGTTGGAAGCTGAGCTGGCCAAGCGTGAGCCGCTGGTAACTCGAGGCGGGGGCACTGCCTGACCTTCCGTGTGCAGGGTGCAAAATCCAGCTGGGAGGCTGGAGCCAGCTGGGAGCAGCCGGGTAAACAGGCTGGCAGATGCTGCTTCCCCCACGGCTGGGCTGGCAGCAGGTGTCGGGAGCAGGGGCGATGTCCCCGCGGTGATGTCCCCGCGGTGATGTCCCCGCGGTGATGTCCCCGCGGTGATGTCCCCGCGGTGATGTCCCCGCGGTGATGTCCCCGCGGTGTCCGGCACTGCTGGCACAGCGGGATCAGCCCCCCGGGCTGGTGTTGAGTGGCCTCTCCCTGATCCTGGGGAAGGAGAGGATCCGGAGGGTCTGCCCTTTGTTTTGCAATTCCGAGGCTGAGGAAAACAGCCCCTCCCGTCCCTGCCATCTCCCCAGGGCTTGGTTCTGTCCCAGTTTTAGGAAGAGCTGCGTTGTTTGGGCACCAGGAGATAGAAGAGGCCCTGGCCAGGCCAGCAAGGGCTTAGGAGCTCTAATCTCGGGATTATTAAACATATGCTCGTCCTTTGGACATCCTTGTGTGCCTGCTGGGGATTTCCTGGCAGCCCAGGCAGGGAATCCAGGGGGCACCTTTGTTGGGAGCTGACCTTTCCAGAGCAGCCAGGGGCCGGTGCCGTGCCTGGAGCAGGAAGGAGAGGCCTTTTCCAGGAGCAGGAAGATCGGGTGGTGGGGGGTGTGGGCAGATCCCCCACCCTGATCACTGTCCCTGCCCCTGGAGCAGCCAGGATGCCCAGGCTGAGCTCCAGCAGCCAGGTTCCATGGAAGTTCAGCAGGAAGGAGCCTTCTTGGTTTTTCAGGTGCTGGTTTCAGGTTTAGGAGAGTTCTTCCCAAGTTTTGGGATTAACACCGTGGCCTGGAGCAGCATGGATCTGTGTGGGATGAGACCTTGGAATTCAGCACTTTGACCTTGCAGTTAGCCCCAGTTGATGCTTCCCTGGTGCAGAATTAGGTCCCCATTAAATGGATTTTACTGGCACGTGTTGGGAAGACAGAGCCTGGATTCCCTGGCCAGGAGGCTGCTGCAGCTCCAGGATTCCCAAGGCTGGAAGCAGCTCTGTGATCCTGTCCCTGGGCAGTGGGAAGGAAAGTCATGCATCATGGAGAAATCCATGGAGAAGCTGAAGAAGTGTGGAATGTTGTGCCAGGTGAAACTGGGGAGGCCTGGACATGCTGGAGAGGGTGCAGTGCAGGAGAAATCCTCCCTTGGGGAGCAGGGAGGGCTGTGTTCCTGCTCATGCAGTGCTGGGGACTGGCTTGGAGGGGGCAGGGGCCAGCAGCCAGGGCTAGAGCTGTTCCAGCAGGCTGCTTGTGCTGGATAACCCCACCCTTCCCCAGGGAGAGGCTTTCCAAGGCAGGTTTCATCAGAGCCCCAGCCTGGAGCTGCTTCCAGCCTGATCCAAAGCAGATGGACACTGTCCTTTGGAGCAGGGGGAGGAGGGCAGAGCAGAGCCCAGGCACGCTCTGCTGCTCCTGGGAAACGTGACAGGGAAGGGGGAAAGCAACACCTCCAGCCCTGCTGCTCCCTCTGCTTCCACAGGGCCTTCCCCGGAGCCCTCCAGAAAGTTTGGCCTTGCAGGAACACCACGGGCAGGGTTTGTGCCAGGCCCATCTCTGCTCCTCCCCTGCTCCTTGTTCCTGCTGCTGTTCCTGCCCCTGTGGGATCTGAATCCCTGTGACCTCTCCTCTCCCTGCCCTGGAACATTCAGGGCTCCAGCTGCAGGGCTGTGGACAGGCAGGTTTGTCCAGCCCACACAGCTCTGCTGCTGCTGGAGACATTCCAGGATGTGTCCTGGATCTGCTGGGGGCTGTGCCTGTGCTGTGCCCTTCTCCCTTTGATTTACCACTTCCTCACATCGGTTTTACAGCTGAGATCTGGCTCCTGGAGCTCCTCCTGTGTCCAACACAGAGGTTTGCCAAGTGTGGGGAATTTGGGGGCTTGCAGGGAGCTGCAGCAGAGTTAGCAGCAGCATCTCCATCCCAGCTCAAGGTCTGTGCCAGCACCAGCCCAGGCTCTCCCTGGCACCCTCCCAAGAGGGATCTGCTCACAGATAAGGAGGAACAAAGGGGAAAATCACTCTTTTGGGGTGTGCAGGGGGCTCATGATCCCAATCCACGCAAAGCCCTGGGCAGCAGAGCTCTCCTGGAGCCCAGCCTGACATGGAGCTGGAACCCTGTTTGAGCAGGGAGTGTTTCTGTATCCCGGTGAGAAGTGCTGCAGCCTGGGCGCGAGGGGAGGAACTTGCAGGAAGAGCTTTTGGTGCTGGGCCAGGCTCTGCTCCAGAGCCCCGGGCGAGGATGGATGTGGGCTCTGGCTCCCTGGTTCCCTGTCAGTGTGCAGAGCTGGATCCTGGAGCAGCACAGGAGGGGTGGGGAGGAGGCTTCCTCCCTGGCTGGGGAGGTGCAGGCAACAGCCAGGGTCCTGGAAGGGCCATGAAGAGGCTCTGGAGCTGTTTGCAGAATTCCTGCTTTGCCTCAAGCTCCCTTTCCAGCCCAGCTCCTTCCTGCAGATCCATCCTGGGATTTATCGCTCCTCCTTCCTGCAGCCAGCCCCCGATTTCAGGGCTGCCCTTCCTCAATAAGGGACCTTTGGCAGGCTCAGAGGCTCCTGCCATGCCAGCAGTCGTCCCTCAGGAACCCTCCCAGCTCCGTTGGATTCAGCCAGGGCCGGTTCCGGGCAGAGCTGCCCCAGGCCCGTGGGGTGAGCAGTGCCCTGGGATGAACCCTGGGCACAGCCCCGTCCCTGGCAGGGAGCAGACACGAGCTGCTCGCTGTCCCATTTCCAGAGGCTCTGCAGGGAGCGCTGGATGGGATCCAGGCTGTTCCTCCCGCTGAGCTTGCAGGGTTTGCCCTTTGTCTGCCCCTCCGAGGGGAGGGGACAGGGCGGGCCCTGGGGGTGGCACAGGGGCTGGGGGTGCTGGGCAGGAATGAGCTCCTGCCTGGAGCTGGTTTAATCAAATTTCCTGAGTTTAAGCCCTCTGCATCCTGGGAATTTCCAGACTTTCCAAGAGGGGCTGGAGACAGGCTTCACCCCAGGGCTGTGGTGCTGCTTCCTGGCTTGGCTGAAGGTTTTAGGCTGGGCTTGTGTGAGAAGGGTTTGGGAGCAAGTCTGCCCCAGGCACTGGTGACTGGTTAAGCCAAGAGGCTTCTCTGTTGCAGATTTGAAAATCCTGAGAGTAAACTGAGAGGAAAATTCTATATGGAGGGTTCAGCCCTCCCCTTATTGCTCATCCAGGCAATCCAGTGTGGGTCCTTGGTGGGCTGGAAGTCACTCCCTGGCAGCTGAGCTGTGGCTGATGGTTCTCAGATGGTGTGGGAGGTGACGGTGAAGTTAAAGTGTGACAAATCTGTGTATCCTTGTGCTGAACCTCTCCCTGCCAATGGAATTGTCTCAATGGAGCCCTGGAAGGAGCAGCTGGACACACAAGAGACCTTGCCCAGGATGTGGAGCTGTCAAAGACTCTCTGAAGCCTCCAAATCTCTCACTTCAGGGGTAGATCCCAAATGTGCTCCATGGAGTGGCAGAGGGAGGGAGGAGGGACCTCAGGGCTGCTCTGACCAAAGGACAGGAGCTGGGCATGGCTGGGTCAGCTCCAGGCAAGCTCCTGACAGCATTCCCAGGGCAGGGAATGTCTCTGGAGCTGTGGAACTTTCCTGGCCTTCCAGGCACTAATAAACACCCGGGGCAGGGTTTTCCTGGGAGCCATTTCCTGCTCCTAGTGCCTCCAGGGAGTGCAGGCTCTGCTTCCAGCCTGGGCTCTGCACTCAGCTGCTCTGGGGGCCCAGGAATTTCCAATTAAAAGTTTCCCAGCTCCTTCTCGGGATGTCTCTGCTTTTCAGAGCCCTGGCAGGTGTCAGCACAGGTTTGGGTTCCACAGGGGTTCCGCAGTCCTGCTGGAGCTGAACTGCAGAACATTTACTGTGCTTTGTCGTGTTGCACAGGCTGTGGGTCCACCCGGCCCTGCCACAACGGATTTCTTGATAAACCCAAAGAAATTGGGCCTGGCCTTGTGGTTTTGGCACAGAGAGGTGCTGCTGGCCCTGCTCGCCCTCGGCACTGCTGCCAGAGTCACGAGGAGCTGCACAAATGGGGCTGAGCAGGAGGAGAGGAACATCTGGGAGCAGGGAAAAGGAGCCTCCTGCCCTGGGGAAGGGAGGGTCAGAGCCTGGCTCTGGGCTTGCTGCTTCAAAGGCTCTGGAGCCTCTGTGGTTGTGTTTGTTGTGTAATGGGCTCAGCCCGGGCCCGGGGGGGTTTGAGCTTCCACGTGCAGTGCTAATCCTGGGGCCCTGCTGCTGCCCTGATCCTGCCTGGAACGCTTCTCCTCTCGGGATCTGCCACTGGCAGAGGCACCAGGGGCAGCTCAAACTCTTGGCTTTGTGTCTGTCTGCTTTTCACAGAGGTGGGGGTGGTTTTTGGGGTATTTTTAGGCTGCAGCTCCATCAAACCAACCCCTGCTACAGCTCTGAGCTGTGGAAGGCAGGCTGGCTGCATCCCATATTCCCCACCCTGCATCCAGGCTTTGCTCCCAGATGTGCCCCTGTGTGCAGGGAATGAGTGTTTCCTTGGCTCCCCGCCCTGCAGGGCTGTGGGGATGTCCTGGCACGTCAGGAGCCTGGGGCAGGGCAGAAATGTTGCTCTGCTGGCTTGGTGGCTCTCCCAGCCTCCCACCTTGGCAGGGGGAGCTGAGGATCAGAGGATCCCAGGAAGCTGCTGGATCAGCCAAGGTGGAGCAGGGAGGAGCAGGAGGGGTGGCTGGTGTGTCCTGAGGGGACAACCTGGTGGCACCTGAGGCACCAGTGGGTGCCAAATCATTGCTCTGAGAGTGCAGGGGGGCTGCCAGGGCTGGGACCCCTCAGGGTTGTGTTGTGGCTCCCAAATTCCCTGTGTGTGTCCCTGGAAGGGGAAGGAGGGGAGCTGGCTGCTGACGGGGGGAGCTGCTGCCTCCTGCACCCCTCAAGTGGCCTGTGGGAGGAAGTGGGATTGCCCTGCTCCCCCCTCCTGTGCTGCTTTCCAGAGAGGAACCCATGAGGTCCCCAGGGTGGGGACATTGCTGGCAGTGTCCTTGTGCTGCTGCAGCTGTGGGGGGTGACACAGGGCCTGACTTTGGCTCCACAGCTGCCAGGCCAGGCTTCCCTGCACTCCTTGGCTTCTCCTGGTCCTGCTTTCCCATCGCTTCCTGCAGCTCCTGCTGGCATTCCCTGCTCCCTGCCCTGGCCTGGGATGCACCCTGGGGAAGAGGTGGCACCCAGGGTGGGTGGCACTGAGGGTGGATGGCACACAGCTGGATGGCACCCAGGGTGGGTGGCACCCAGGGTGGGTGGCACCATGGCCAGTGTCCTGTTTCAGCCCTGTTCCATCCCTGTTCTGCAGCAGCGGCCCGGGATGCCCCCCGGGGGCAGGATGCCCATGGCAGGGCTGCAGGTGGGACCCCCGGGAGCCCCCCCGTACGGAGCAGCGACCCCGCTGAGGCCCGGCCTGCCCCAGGCCATGATGGATCCCTTCAGGAAGCGCCTGCTGACTCCCCAGGCACAGCCACCCATGGCCACCCCGAGGAGAGGGTAAGGCTGGCATGTCCCATCCCTGAGGGGGTCCTGCTGGGTCCTGGCTGCACTTGGTGAAATCACGGGGTGGGTGGGCTGGAAGGACCTCAAAGCCCATCCAGTCCCACCCCAGGGCACCTTCCACTCTCCCAGGGTGCTCCAAGCTCCTTGAACATTCCCAGGACTACCACACTAATCCATGCTGCCAGGGAGCTGCATCCCTCTCAGTGCATCCAGGTTGTGTTTCACCTCCTGTTTTCCATCTGGACTGGTTCAAACAAGGCACAATAATTCATTCCCAACAGGAATCTTCTGCTGGGAAACTTCTCCAGAGCACAGGAGAGCCCTGTTCTGGAAATAGCTGTATAAATATAAATAATATTTAATATAAATGTAGATATCAATGAGATGTCACTGCAGATAGAGAGCTGTAAAAAGATGGATGTAATTCCATTCAGGACAGGGATCCCAGGCTGTGTTCAGTCAGGGTTTGGCTCTCTTCGACACCCCAAAGCCTCTCCAGGTCCCCATTCAAGTGTCACATCATGCATTGTGCCACAGCTCCTGTCCTGCTGCAGAGGTGGGGACCAGCAGGGTTTTCCTCCAGCCTGGCACCTGCCAGAGCTTGGGAATGGGATATTTTGGGATGGAGGCAGAGATTCCTCAGTTTGCAGCTTCCTCTCACTCTGATCTCCACACCAGGAACCAAAGAGTTTCTTGGGGTCCTCAGCAGCAGCTCCTGGGGGTCGTCTTCATCCTCCCAGGGGTGCCTGCTGGCTCTGGCAGGCACAGACGTGGCTGGAAGTGTGGGATGGGGCTGGCAGATTTTGGGGATGCTCCCTGGAGCTGCAGTCAGGGCAGGACTCTTTGGGCTCTGCCAGCAGCTCCTTGCTGGTTCCCAGCCCTGGTCCCTCTCTGTGGGGGCTGTTTGGTTCCTAAAATCTCCAAGCAGATCCCTTGGTGCTCATGGATGCTCAGGTCCCCATTCCCTTCCCTGGCAGTTCCATTGGTTCCCCTGATCCCTCCTGGGCCATCCCAGCACTGCTGAGCCAGAGCGAGCTGGGGGCTGGGGACAGGGAACAGCAACCACAGGGACATCAGGGCTGGGATCAGGGATCAGCCAGGCTCACAGCTGGGCATTCCCTGCTCCCAGCTGCTGGATCAAGGGATTAGGTGCTTCCAGCTGCCCTGGGGTGTCCAGACCCTGCAGGAGGAGGGGTTGGGTGGGGCAGGCATTGCTCCAGAGTGGGGCTCTCTGCTCTCCTGGAGTGTTGTCCTGGAGCATGCAGTGTCCCCCAGATCTCTCCTGTGTGATCCTGCTGCTCCAGGTGCAGCTGGAGGAACAGGAATTCCCTGTGCTGCTGGAGCCTGCCCTATCTCCCAGGCAGGAAGACAGGAGAGCATTCCCTGCTGTGCCCAGAGCATTCCCTGCCATGCCCAGGCTGAGCAGGAGCTTCCTGGGCACTGGGATGGGCTCGGGCTGATGGGAATCTGCAGTGGGCAGGGTTGGATCCAGCCAAGCTGGATTATCCCAGGATTTCAGCCCCACCACAGCAGGGTTTGGTTTGAGCTGGGTTCAAGGGAGTTCCTGGCAGTGGCTTTGGTCTGGAGCACTGGGAGAATGGGATGGCTGCTTTGAGAGGGGAAGTTTGGGAATTCTGTCCTGCAGCCCTGGCTTTGCCTTGTTATCACCTTTGCTTTCTCCAGCATTTCCTGGATTTCCTTCCCCAGGGTCAGGCTGCAACATCCAACACCTTTCCCCCAGGAATATCCTGAGTGGGAATGGACCCCCAGGACCATCCAGGCCCTGCCCAGACCCCCCAACAATCCCACCCTGGGCATCCCTGGCAGCGCTGTCCAACCCCTCCTGGCAGCCTCGGGGCTGGGACCATTCCCTGGGGAGCCTGGGCAGTGCCAGCACCTCTGGGGAAGAACCTTTCCCAAAATCCATCCCCCCAGAGGGCAGGCAGCAGGGTGTCCTATGGGAGCTGTAACTTTCCCTGTTTCCCAGGGTGAAGAGGAGGAAGATGGCTGACAAGGTGCTGCCACAGAGGGTGAGTGTCACCTCAGCCCAGGGGACAGAGCTGAGCTGCTGCAGGGGTGGGGGGGTCCCCAAAAAGGGAGGATCTCCCTGCGTTTCCTCCTGCCCCCTGGGAATTTCTGTTCAATCCCAAACCAGCCTGGAGTGTTTCTGTCTCCCTCTGGCACAGCAGGAGAGGGTTGGGGTGGGGCTGGACTCTGAGCAAGCAAGGAGCAGGAATGGGGTGGGATGGAGATCTCAGGAGGTCCCTAAGAGTCCCTCTTGGGATTCCAGGGTTCCATTCCATGTAGGAATGCTGCTGGGAGCAGCAACAGACTCCAGACTGGTTTGGGCAGAGCTTTGCAGGGCTCGAGACTGGGTTTAAAATAAAAACTGGATGCTGGACTCGTCATCTGGTGTCTCCCTGGCTGCTGGGGCTGTGGGGTGATCCAGGCCATCCCAGCACACTGGGATTGACCATTCCTGTGCCCAGATCCGGGAGCTGGTCCCAGAATCCCAGGCCTACATGGACCTCCTGGCCTTCGAGCGCAAGCTGGACCAAACCATCGCTCGGAAGAGGATGGAGATCCAGGAGGCCATCAAGAAACCCCTGACGGTGAGCTGGGGCCTGGCAGGGGGGCTGGAAGTCATGGAAACGTGGGAAACTGAAGGTTGGAAAAATCCTCTGAGGTCATCCAGTCCAACCGTCACCCTAAGCCATGTCCCCAGGTGGAGTATCTACACGTTTCTCGGGCACTTCAGGGATGGGGGTTCCACCTCTGCCCAGGGCAGCCCATTCCAGTGTTTCACAACCCTTTGTGTGGATAAATGTTCCCTAATATCCAATCTAACCTCCCCTGAGGCCGTTTCCTCTCTTGCTGAGCTGGAGATGGGTGCTGCAGTCTCCTCTCACCCCGTCCCTCCCTCTCTCTGTTCCCATCCCACAGCAAAAGCGGAAGCTCAGGATTTACATCTCCAACACCTTCACCCCGGCCAAGGAGGAGGGAGAGGGGGGCGAGCGTGTGGCCTCCTGGGAGCTCCGTGTGGAGGGGAAGCTGCTGGAGGATGTGAGGATCCAGCAGGGCTGGGGGATGGTGGGAGGAGCATCCAGGGGGAGGGAGGGAGGGAGGAGCTGGTCAGGATCCAGGAGGGATGGGGTGATGGTAGGAGAAGCTGGGATAGGGATAAGGTGCTGGTGGGAAGAACTCTGGTCCATGGGGATCATCCAGGAGGGATCAGGTGCTGGTGGGAGGAGCTGTGGGTCCATCAGGACTCAGGAGGGATAAATGATGGTGGGAGGAGGAGCACTGGTCCATAACAATCCATGATGGATGAGGAGAGGTGGGAGCACTGGTCCATAAGGATCCAGGAGGGAAGGAGTGATGGTGGGAGGAAGAGCAGTGGTCCATCAGGAGCATCCAGGAGGGATGAGCAGGTGGGAGGAGGAGCACTGATCCATCAGGACCATCCAGGAGGGATGAGGAGGTGCTGGAAGCACTGGTGCTGTGCTGAGAGCTCAGCTGGGGCAGCAGCTGAGCTCTGGGGCCTGGGGCTGGATTTGGGATCATGAATCTCTGCTGCCCTGTCTGCAGCCCAGCAAGCAGAAGAGGAAGTTCTCCTCCTTCTTCAAGAGCCTCGTGATCGAGCTGGACAAGGAGCTCTATGGGCCAGACAATCACCTGGTGGAGGTGAGGTGGGAGGGGATCCCAGTGGGAAATTGGGCACAGCCCTGCTGCTCCCCTCTGGGTGCTGAGCTCCAGGCTCCAGGGCCTGTCCTGCTGGGAGAGGGGCCTGAGCAGGTTTTTGGGGCTGGGAACAGTGTAGGCCTCCATGGCAACTGGGCTCTCCTGCTTTCCCAGCTCAGGTTTAGGATGGCTTTTCTCCCCTGGCAGAGCTCAGGTCTGAGCCCTCCCAGCCCAGGTGCTCAGCCAGAGCTGGAGCTGTGGTGTGTGGGGCAGGCATGCGGCCCCAGAGGCAGCTTTGCCCCAGCCTGGCACAGATGGGTCCCCACGGGGGTGCTGATCCCACAGAGGCTCACCCCAGTGCCCTGTGGGAAGAAGGGTTTGCCCACCTGCCTGTCCCTGAGCTGGAGGGTCCTTGGGGGGTTTAAGCCATGCCTGGGAGAGAGATCAGACTTTATTGGGTGCTCCTGCCTGGAGCTCTCCCTGCACCCAGCTCGTGCTTTTGCCCTGGGGGATCCTGTGGAGAGGCTGAATCCCCTTCCAGGGGAAGCTGGGAGCAGCTCTGGTGCACATTCCTGCAGGATTGATCCAGAAGCTGTGGGAGCCCTGCACCCCAAGCACTCAGGGCTGGAGCTGCCCCAGTCCATGCCAGTGCTGGGCTGGGAGAGCTCTGAGCTGCCACCACTGGGACCAGGAGCTGCCAGGGGTGCCCCAGGCTGTGTGGCTGTGCCAGCCCCAGCCCAGCTCTGCAGACACCAACGCTGCTGGCAGGGCTGGTTCCATGGCCCTGGCCTGAGCAGTGTCCCCGTTGTCCCTCGCAGTGGCACCGGATGCCCACGACCCAGGAGACCGACGGCTTCCAGGTGAAGCGTCCCGGGGATGTCAATGTGAAGTGCACCCTGCTGCTCATGTTGGACCACCAGGTACGGCCTGGGGCCACCCAGGGGTGGGGATGGGCTGGGACAGGGCTTTGGGTGAGCATTTGGAAGTGCAGGGATTGAAAGGAGCACGGGGAGCTCCAGGCATGGACCCGCAGTGACACAGGCGCTGGGGGGGACTCCCAGGGGCCAGACAGACACCCCCCCTCTTCTTTGGGCAGCAGCAGCAATTTCTCCATGGAAAGGGAGTTAAAAACTGGGACAGGGCCTTGGATGAGGGTTGGGGGGATGAAGGGATCAAAAGGTGCACAGGGAGCTCTGGGCATGGAGCTGCAGTGACACAGGGCCTGGGGGGGACACTCCCGACTGCCTCTTCTTTGGGCAGCAGGAGGAATTTCTTCATGGAAAGGGAGTTAAAAAGCAGGACAAGCTGCCCAGAGAGTGCTGGAGTCCCCATCCCTTCAGCTGTCCCAGGAACACTCAGTGCTCCGGGCTGGGGACAGGACAGGGGTGGGTCAGGCTGGGCTCTGCTCCGGGGGGGCTTTTCCAGCCTGGCTGGTTCTGTGGCTGACCCCGTCTGTCCCCGCAGCCCCCCCAGTACAAGCTGGACCCACGGCTGGCCCGGCTGCTGGGGGTGCACACCCAGACCAGGGCCAGCATCATGCAGGCCCTGTGGCTCTACATCAAACACAACAAACTGCAGGACAGCCACGAGAAGGAGTTCATCAACTGCAACCGCTACTTCCGCCAGGTACCTGCACATTCCCCCCTCATCCGGCTGGGAAAAGCCTCTCACCGGCTCCACAGCCCCTCCAGGCTCTGGCTGTGCCCCTTCCCTGGGCTCTGGCTTGCACCACCAGCTTGGGGATGCCCCACCTGGCTGCACAGGTGAGGGGAGACCCTGCCATGGGTGCCAAAGGCTCTGCTTTGCCCCCCCAGATCTTCAACTGCGTCCGCATGCGCTTCTCCGAGATCCCCATGAAGCTGGCAGGGCTCCTGCAGCACCCGGACCCCATCATCATCAACCACACCATCAGGTGGGGGCACGGCCCTGAGGGCTCTGGGCTGGGCACTGGGTGGGCAATGGCTCCAGAGCTGAAGGGGCTCCATGGGATGGGGAGTGTCTGCAGGACTGGGGGTGCTCCATGGGATGGAGAGTGGCCAGTGTCCCTGGGACTGGGGGACTCCGTGGGCCAAGCAGTGTCCCTGGGGCTCTGTGGGCCAAGCAGTGTCCCCAGGGCTGGGCGCGCAGGAGGCTTTGAGGTCTCCAGCCTGAAGGATTCGCACAAGTCACCTTGGAGGGGAAGAACCACGAAATGTGAGGCTTCTTGGGGCACTGGTGTTGCTGTTGGGGGTCCATCCACCCCCAGCCATGTGGGGGCTCAGCAGGTCCCCCCAACCCCATTCCCCCAGTGTGGACCCCAATGACCAGAAGAAGACAGCCTGCTACGACATCGATGTGGAGGTGGATGATCCCCTCAAAGCCCAGATGAGCAATTTCCTGGCCTCCACCACCAACCAGCAGGAAATCGCCTCCCTGGATGCCAAGGTAAGGAAGGGACACTGCCAGAGGGCAGCCATGTCCTGGGGGGGGACACAACTCCTCTGACCCCTGTCACCTGCCCAGATCCACGAGACCATCGAGTCCATCAACCAGCTGAAGACACAGAGGGATTTCATGCTGAGCTTCAGCAACAACCCCCAGGATTTCATCCAGGAGTGGATCAAATCCCAGAGGAGGGACCTCAAGGTAAAGGGGAAAAATTTTGGGGAGGTTTAGGTTGGATATTGGGAGAAATGTTTTCCGGGAAGGGGTTGCCCAGTGCTGCCACAGCTGCCGAGGGCAGTGGTGGAGTCCCCATCCTTGGAGGGATTCAGAACCATGGATGCGGCCCTTGGGGACGTGGGTCACTGGTGAACGTGGTGGTGGTGTTGGGCTAAGGGTGGGAGCTCTTTTCTAGCCTTAACAATTGCATGATTCTGAAGCCCTGGGGCTGGGCAGAGTCAGGGACTGGGAAGGGTCTGGGTCCCTCGTGGAGCTCAGGGAGGGGTCTGGGTCCCTCGTGGAGCTCAGGGGGGGGGTCTGGGTCTCTCGTGGATCCCTCTGGATCCCTCACTCCCGCTGCCCCGTCCCGTTTGGGTCAGATCATCACGGATGTGATCGGGAACCCCGAGGAGGAGCGGCGGGCCGAGTTTTACCAACAGCCCTGGGCGCAGGAGGCCGTGGGCAGACACATCTTTGCCAAGGTGAGCTGGGGTGTGGGACGGGGTTGGGGTGGCAGTGACAGAGCCCCGGGAGCCCGGGCAGTGTCCCCTGTCCCTCCCTGACCGCCGCGGTGTCCCCAGGTCCAGCAGCGCCGGCAGGAACTGGAACAAGTGCTCGGGATCCGCCTCACTTAAGGCGGGCGGGGCCCGGGGGCCGCTCCCGCCCCGCTGCCCGAGCCGGACGGTACCGACTGGAAACCACAGCACTTGCACAAACCCGATGTGCCTGGAGGGATGGGAGCCCCCCGGGGCTCCCCGGGCCGAGCACAGCGGAGTCCCCGCTCCCCCCAGGCCCCCGCAGCGCCTCCTCCGCTTTGCATCGCGCCCCTCCCCGCGCAGCCCCCGCGGGTTCCCCGCTCCCCTCCCGCTCCCAAAACTCCCCCGGCAGCCGGGAAGCGCTGCCCGTGCCCTTGGGGAGGAGCTGCCAGCCCCACCCCGAGCCCCGCAGGCCCGCCCTGCCCCTCTTCTACCAAAGTTCGTCATTCCAAACGCCAGCTCCCCCCGACGTTTTGCACTATTTTTGTGAACAGGTTTTATATATATAAAAAAAAAAAACCACGAAAAAAGAAAAAAAGGCAGCGTTTTGTACAGTGGGTTTGTATTTGATTAATTAATATATTGATTGAGTTCCTCTTCCCACACTGGGCTCTGCAGGGTCTCAGGGAGGCTCCCAGGGCTGCTCTGGAGATACGGAACCGAGAGCTGGGGCTCATTTTGTGACAATCAGTTTATTCCTTACCCCCCCTCCCGCTGTTTTACATAATTCCATAATTAACCACTTGTCTTGACGAGGTTTGGGGGCAGAGGGGCTGGCTCTGCCCCAGGAGCCTGTGGGGGCACAGGGGCACCAAGAACTGGAGATACGGGGGAGAAGGGAGGGGACCAGGGGGCAGTGCCACCACTGCCACCCCCACTGAAGTGCCTTTGCCCCCCTGCAGGCTCCGAGATGGGGGGGCGTTTACAGATTCCCAGGGTTGGGCTCAGGGGTTCCTGCTCTGCCTCTCATGTAACCAGTTTTTGTCTATTTTGGATCTTTTCTAATAAAAGCAGTTAGCAGCAGCTCTGTGGGGTGTGTGCTGTGTCCCGCAGCTCTTGTGGGGTGTGCAGCGTCCTGCAGCCCCCACCCCAACCCCAAATCAGTCCCCAACTCAGCGCCCAGGCCTGGCCACAGCAGCTCTTTATTGACAGCACAGAGGGAGCAGCTCCAGCCTCACCGTTACTTCCACAGCTTCTTGATAGACATGTTCTTCTCACTGTCCTTCTGCATCACCTGGGGGGAGGGGACAGGGGTGGGTCCAACATTCAGTGCCCAAACTGGGTGTTAATTACCCCAAAAAGACGTTTCAGCCCTGCACAGGGAGGGCTCAGCAGCGTCTCCCATGTCACTCACGGTGACAACCCCCTTGTTTGTGCTCCTGGTAAACGCCACCCAGGACACTTTGTGCCGCCATCACCCCCCAGTGTCACCTCTCCCCTGGCACCCACCTTGGCCACGGCCATCTCGAAGTCCTCCTGTGTGACATGCACTCTCCTCTCCCTCAGGGCATACATCCCTGCCTCTGTGCACACACCCTGAGGGGACAAGAGGGGAGCATCAGCCAGTGCCCCCCGTGGCAGCCCCCATGGCAGCCCCGTGTCCCCAGAGTCCCCAGCTCACCTTCACCTCAGCCCCCGAGGCCCCCGGCATCAGCTCCGCGATTTTCCGCAGGTTGATGCCCCGGGTCAGGTTCATCTTCCGTGAGTGGATCTTGAGGATGTCCAGGCGGGCCTGGAGCAGGAGCACAGGGATGGTTGGAGCCCAGGAATGGCTCCCAGGGAGAGGGTGGGGACAGCAGGGACAGGGCCAGCCAGGGGTGGCTCTGGTACCTCCTCGTTGGGAGGGGGGAATTCGATTTTCCTGTCGATGCGGCCGGGGCGCAGCAGGGCCGAGTCCAGGATGTCGATCCTGTTGGTGGCCATGATCACCTGCACAGGGGGACAGCTGTCACCACCCCGGGCACCGCAGGGCTGGCAGGACCCCAGGCAGGGCCACCCCCTCTACCTTGATGTTCTTTGTGGCCTCGAAGCCGTCGAGCTGGTTGAGGAGCTCGAGCATGGTGCGCTGCACCTCGCTGTCCCCGCCGGAGCCGCCCTCCAGGCGGGACGAGCCGATGGAGTCGATCTCGTCCATGAAGATGATGGAGGGCGCGTGCTCCCGCGCCATCACGAACAGCTCCCGCACCATGCGGGCCCCTGGGGACACCGGGCTCAGCCTGGCCCCGAGCCCACGCAGCCCCCAGGAGCCCCAGAGCCGCCCCCGCCCCCGTACCTTCCCCGATGAACTTCTGCACCAGCTCAGAGCCGGACACGCGGATGAAGGTGCAGTCGGTGTGGTGGGCCACGGCCCGGGCCAGCAGCGTCTTCCCTGTGCCGGGGGGGCCGTAGAGCAGCACCCCCTGCAACGGCCACACGGCCCCTCAGAGCCTGCCTGGGGCCACGGGCTGGCCCAGGGCCCCCCGAGCAGCACTTGCCTTGGGCTGCGCAATGCCCAGCGCCTCGAAGAGCTCCGGGTGCTTCACGGGTAGCTCGATGACCTCCTTGATCTCCTTGATCTGCTTGTCCAGGCCCCCGATCATCTCGTAGGTGGAGTCTGGGACCTTCTCCACCATCATGAGGGACACCAGCGGGTCCACCTTGTTGGGCAGGATCTTGTGCAGGGTGTAGCTGTCGTTGCGCAGGGCCACACGGCAGTTGGGGGTCACCTGTGGGGACAGCACATGGGTGGGTGTCCCTGCCAGCCCTGGGGACCCCCACAGCCCCGGAGCACTCACATCATTGATGTCAATGTTCTTGTCCACATCCACCACGAACTTCCCCTCTGGGTGCACCTGTAAAGGAGCAAAGACCCCCGGGAGTTGTTTCTCTGGGAATTCCCTGCTCAGGGACATCCCCATGGCCTGGGAGGAACAGGAGCCAGGAGCTCCAACCCCACTGCACACCCCCAGGCCCAGCAGAGCCACCCCAACAAGCTCCTCTGCACAAGGAACTCCCACCCCACGTCCCCGAGCTGTCCCATGCTCTGTGGGGATTCGGGGCTGTCCCCCAGCCCAGCCCAGCCCTGTCACCTGGGGGCAGCTCAGCCTCGTACCTTGACCAGCACCTTTTTCTTGTCCATGGCTCTCACCACCTCTCCCACGTAGGATCCCTGCTCCTGCAGCAGCTGCAGCTCCTCCCGCAGCAGCCGCACTGCGGAGGAACAGCTCAGCACCAGCCCTGGCAGCTGGAGCCCCCCAGGCCCAGCCCAGAGCTCCCAAAGCTCAGCCCAGAGCCCCCAAAGCCCAGCCCAGGGGAGCAGGAGGAGCTCCAGGCCCTACCTTTGGCGTTGAGCTCGTTCCTCTGTGCCTGCAGCCGCCGCAGGTTCTGGCTCTTCTCGTTCACAATGAGCTGCAGGGAAAGGCTTTGCTGAGCGGCCTTGGCTCAGGCATACCCAGCACAGAGAATCGTGGAATGGTTTGGGTTGGAAAAGATTTTAAAGCTCATCTCATCCCACCCCTGTCATGGCAGGGACACCTCCCACTGTCCCAGGCTGCTCCAAGCCCCAATGTCCAGCCTGGCCTTGGGCACTGCCAGGGATCCAGGGGCAGCCACAGCTGCTCTGGGCACCCTGTGCCAGGTCCTGCCCACCCTGCCAGGGAACAATTCCTAATTCCCAATCTCCCATCCATCCCTGCTCTCTGGCAGTGGGACAGAGACCTGGACAGGAGCAGCCCCACCTCGTGTCCCCAGCGCCCCCAGAGCGGGTCCTGCCTGCCCACAGCCCTGGGACACGGGCACACCATCCCGGCTGGAAGCACAGTGACACGGTCCCGGTGTCCCCCGCAGCTGTGCTCACCTGCAGCTCCTCGATCTTGGACAGGTAATACTGCCGGAGCCCCGAGCCGCCCTTCCCGTCGTCCATCTCCATCTGCGAGAGCAGAGCTCAGCGCCACCGACACCCGCCTACCCCGCCGGCCTCGGGGCAGCCCCGCCGGGCCCCGATTCCCCCAGCAGCCCCGCCGGGCCCCGATTCCCCCAGCAGCACCGCTCCTGGGCCGGCTCCTGGCTCCTCTTTTCCCTCCTCCCATCCTGGTCCCAATCCCCGAACCCCCCTCCCGCGAGGGTCCCGAGCGTCCCTCCCCTCCCCTCACGCCCTGCCCGACACCTCCGAGTCCCGTCCTCCCAGGTGCGCGCAGCAGCCCCAGCTCCCGTTCCCCTGCGAGTCCCCCGGTCCCGTCCCACCGCTCAGGCTCCGCCGCCTTCCCCAAACCCGCCTAGTCACGGCGCTGCCAGGCCCCGAGCAGCCCCGGCCGCAGCACAGCCCGGGCAGCCCGAAGCGCCCCGAGTCCCTCCCCGAGCTCCGCCGGTTCCCCCCATCCCGGTCCGGTCCGTCCGCACCTGCTCGGGCCCGTCCAGCGCCATCTTCTCCGCCGGCATCGGGCCCCAACAAAGATGGCGGCCGCCAGCTTCCGCTGCCCGGCCCCCGCCGCCCGGCTTGATGGCGTCACTTCCCCTTTCCGGAAAACACATTGCCGGGCGGCGCAGTGCGCATGCGGAATCACTCCTGTCGGGACTGCACTGCCATCTTGGGGTGGTCGAAGGTGATGTGTCCGTGGGTAAAGCTCCGGAAGAGACGGACAGAGTTGCGATCGCGCCACCGAGCGGGCTCGTTATTGTTCACCGCACCTCCGGGGAGCCCATTATCTTTCCCCTTCTTCCGCCCGCAGGCTGCAGAGGAGGGGTGCGCCACTCCTAAAATGGCGGCCAGGGCAGGCGGAAGAGGAAGCTGACTGTTTCGCGCAGGGCACGCCGGGAAGGCGGTGCGGGCACGCGGCGGGACGGGACCGAGACCGGGATCGGGATCAGGGTCGGGGTCTGGGTCTGGAGCAGGGTAGGAGCTGAGTCTGGATCGGTGTCTGGGTCCCGGTGGCGGCTCGGGCTGGGGAAGCGGGTACGGGGGTGTCAGGGCTGGGGGGATGTCGAGCCCGGGTGGTGGGAGGCTTCAGGGGAGAACAGCGGGGCCGGGGTGCCCGGGGCGCGGGTGAGCCTGAGGGGGCAGTTCCGGGAGCGATGAGGGGGCACTGGGGGGGACTGGGAGGGTGGTGAGGGAGGAACTGGAGGGGCACTGAGAGGGGTAACGCGGGCACCACTGAGAGAGAGCTGGAGAGACACGGGGGGACACTGGGAGGACACTGAGAGAACACCGAGGGAGGCCGGGGCTCCCCCGCAGCGCCTCGGGGACCCCAGGCCGCCCCTCAGCCCCGTGTCCCCCCAGGCCCGAGCCCTCGGCTGACAGCACATCCCAGCCCCCCCGAGGGGCCGCCCCGCCACCACCATGGGCAAGAAAAGCAAACTGGGCAAGAGCCGGCGGGACAAGTTCTACCACCTGGCCAAGGAGACGGGTGAGGGCCGTGCCCGGCGCTGGGGACGGGGTCTGCGGGCCCGGGCACCCCCTGAACCACCCTCGTGCTCCCCCCAGGCTTCCGCTCCCGCTCCTCCTTCAAGCTGCTGCAGCTCAATCGCAAGTTCCAGTTCCTGCAGAAGGCCCGGGCCCTGCTGGACCTGTGTGCGGCCCCCGGCGGGTGGTGAGTGGGGACAGGCCACCCACAGTGCCACCAGCTGGCCCGGGGCTGTCCCTGTGCTCTGTCCCAGCCCCCGGCAGCACAGTGCCAGGCTGAGAGCTCTCCTGGGCTCCTGCTGCAGCCCTGCTCCTCTCTCTTCTTCCCAGGCTTCAGGTGGCTTCCAAGTTCATGCCGGTGTCCAGCCTGATCATCGGTGAGTGGCGGCGTTTGGCAGGAGCTGGGGACAGTCCCTGGCTGTGACAGACACAGGGGATCCTGGCAGGAGGGGGGCTGGGTGGGGAAGCCACTTGGGATGGGCTGGAGCCCCTTCTGAGGGGGTTTGCTGTGTTTCTTCAACCAGGGGTGGATTTGGTGCCCATCAAGCCCATTCCCAATGTGGTGACCCTGCAGGAGGACATCACCACCGAGAAGTGCCGCCAGGTACTGCCCTGTGGTTGTGCTTGAGGCTCCCCAGGATGAGGG